TTGTGTTCTGACTAAAGAACATTATTCCAAATATTCATCTTATTAATTTAAAAACAGAAACGACTTCAGCTGACATTTGAATGAATCAAAAGATTTGATTTCTCTCAACGTACTTGGTAAAGCATTCCAGATCTTGGGGCCTTGGTATTCAAATGCCCTTTCACCCTTTGTTTTAGATGGTAACATACATTTCTTTTTGTCAGCTGATGACCTTAAACTGCGAGTTGGAATGTACAGTCTTAACAGATGTGATAAATATGATGGTGCATTATCATTCAAACATTTGTGACATATGGTGGCCAACTTGTACACAATCCTTTTCTCAACAGGAAGCCAATGCAAAGTTCGTGAAAGAGATTTAGCAGAGTCTCGCTTTCTTTTCCGTAAAACTTAACGTGCAGCATTGTTTTGGACAGTTTGAAGTCTTTTAACTTTCTCCAGTGATATTCATGATAACAAGGAGTTACAATAATCTTTTAATATGCTAAATATGTTATTCTGTATTCCCACATTGTTCTGTTTAGAAGACCTCAAGACACGTTGAGAGGCTTTTGCCGCTTATTGCACGTTTTATTGTAGCCATTTGTTGTTGTTATTACATTGTTCTTTAATTTTGTTTTGATTTGATTTTGTTCTTGTTTTTGGTCTTTGTTTGTGTGTTTGTTTGTTTGTTTTGTTTTTGTTTGTTTGTTGTTGTTGTTTGTTATTGTTTTTTTTTGGGGGGGGGTTGTTTTGTTGGGGGGGGGGGGTCTTATCGCAAATGCACAAGTATGTTTTCGTTCAAGCCAGTTGCAATGTTTAGTAGGGTCTCACATGGTATATCATGTTCTTTGTCTAAATGTCCTGTATATTTTCTTTTTAAATAAAATTTTAAAAAACAAAAACAAAAACAAAACAAAACAAAAACAAAACAGGAAACCGTTGAAAGAAGCAAACAACGCTCCACATCGGAGTCTGATTTGAACGCTGTAGAAGTTCAAGAGAGACAAGTTTTAGTTGTCAAATACGCCTGTATAGGTAAAACACGAGTTACCTCCTTAATGGCTTCTTTGTCAGTCGCGTCAAGATTGAATGTCCACCTTTCCAGTCTGATATTGGTAAAAAAAAATAATTTTAAAATAAAATAAAATTTTTAAAAAAGAAGAGAAAGTGTTGCTAAACAATATAGGACCAGAGCAGCAGTAGAAAAACTATCCTTTCTCTACAAACAAGTTGAAATATGGTGTGCTTTGAATTTATATGAAACCAAATAGATGACCCCAAGACAGGACCAGGATAATAAAACTTTAAAAGATCTTGTGAATAAGATGGTGCTAAAGCTATGTAGACATATTAATAAAAGTGTAACATGCAATCTTAAAAATCTTTCCGCTTTTCTACATGTACCGGCTGCCTCTGGAACTAAAATAGAATGTTTAAATCTCTTGTATCCAACATATCTACTTTTCCTTACCACTATCCCGGTTGTTTCGTTCTATTTTATGTTTATTCTGGAGAATGAATGGGGGCTCTCGTGGCCTAGATGTTAAGGTCTTGGCCTCTCATTCAAAGGTCCCCGGTTCGAATCCGGGTAGGGACTGAAAAATTTTCTTCTTCTCCTTTCACCTCCTTTCCTGCTCTCTTGCAATATTCTGTCGTCAGCTTTCGTCTCCTCTTTCTGCCCCCACCCCCTCACCTCCTTTGCCCCCTCCTCTTGGCTCCTGACTCTTTCTGCTGCCTTTCTACTGCTACTCTTTGACTCCTTCTTACAGCTGTCTTTCTGCCACACCCCTGATCTTCTGGTTGGAAAGATCTACACCTAGCCTTCTCGGACAAGGGCGAAAAATCTCGAAAGGCCCGTGTGCAAGTTGCGCACGTTAAAGATCCCTTGGTGGTCTAAAGTCGATAAGAGTAGGCTTCGGCCGCCACCCGTGCAAAATTCAAAATTTCCTACCAACTTAAAGTATTAGGTGTGTCCAGCGCGCTCATATGACCTTATGCAGTTGCAAGCGCCGTAAAACCCTCTACTATAAAAAAGGGAGAAAGAATAAGGTGCTACAGCGGCATCTGGGGCGTGGTGTAGCAGGTAGACACTTTGCTGTGACGGGCAGGAGACCCAGATTCGATTCCAGAGTGGGGAGAACTTATATTCGAATGTCGGTCTGTCTGCTGGGATGTTGTATCCCTCTCAGTGTGTCTGCTGGGATGTTGTATCCATCTCAGCCTGGCTTGGCCCTGCCCTAAGCAGGCGGGATCGGAAGTCCGCCTCCTAAATGATCGAAATTGCGCGGTGGGGATGTAGAAACATCTGCATGTCATCCCCCCCCCCCACCAAAATAAAATAATTAATTAATTAATTAATTAATTAATTAATTTACATTAAATAATACACATGTCAAAAGCCATTGCAGTAATCTGGACGACCGGTGACAAACAAGCGGACAAACGTATGTATGGACTCACCATCGATGACGTTACCCATTTTCGCTGTATTTCTCAAAATATTCACGACAATGTTGGCAAACCTGTGCAGTTTGCTCAATGATAAATAATACTCGAAATCCCTTCCTGAGATTAAATATACCTTTCTTTGAATCGATTAAATGAATAACCAAGCTTTTATATTTGAAGTTCTTCTCAAGTGAACAAAAACCATCTAGTTTCAGAAGAATGGAATCAGACTTTTGTTATGTGTGTACTAGACATCTTTCGGCGGATGGCATTTCCCTTCATGTGACCAGGCCTTGATGTCTGGGATCTTCTTGCTCGCGGTGACGGTGTTAATTTTCTCACAGATGTCGCACCAGTCGATGAAGTGACCCAACCCAGTCAGCTTGTCTACTTCCTTCAGCACCTTGGCGTAACGATCGGGATTGGAACCCAGCTCCTTCAGGTAAACCCCTAGTTCCCGGGCCGATCTGAAATGAGCGGCGTTGATCACGGTGTCTGGAGGAAGGTTGCGGTCATAATCAAAGCCTCCTCTGACTACGGGGATCGTGTGATTGCGCTGTTTATAGAGCAGGAGGAGTTTTTCCGACACGTAGTCCTGGCAGAAAGAGTTCTCTAAGGACAGGTAGAATCTGTACGTCTTCAGCATGTCTTGGCATTGGTCAAACTGAGAGCGAGGGCAAGAGAGATTCCCACATTTCCCGAAGATGTCAACATTGATGTATTTCTGAAATGGAAAAAAAGTTTATTTTCTGACCGTTAATACATGTACTTCTCTTTATGGAAATAACAATATGCTTTTGATTAACTCATGTAGATAAAAATGTCAAAATCATAGTTATTCTTTTTCTGGGAATAAATGCGCCTCTCGTAGATATAGTCAACACTGTATTTCTGCAACGAAAAACGTAAATATCAATACAGCAGTAACTCATCTTCAAGTGCCAGATCTGCAAAGGACATTGGCGATCATGGTCTGTTCTCCACTCATTCCTTTGGAAAAAGAAAAGCTATATTTTCCTGATCTTTCCCCTTTATCCATCTGTTTGGCTCTTCAAGTACGTTGCTGTGGGTCTACCTCTGCCTCGTTTGCCTTCAATTTGGCTGTTCCCACTGAAATAAAATATTCGGTTATATAAAACTTTAGCCTTCCATTCAGAACTTACAAGTCCGCACATCCGGGATCTCTCCATGGGGTGAGGGGGGAGGGGGGCGGCACATTGAGGTCGCTGTCACGTCATGCAAAAAAACCTCTTTTAACCTTTTTTTGGAATGTGGATCAAAACCTACTTTCATTTAAAAGGCATGCCACGGGTCTGCAAAACACGGTGTTTTGATCCAAAAACAGATTTTAAAATTTTTAAATCTTTTTTTGGTACCCGAATATCAAAAGAATTGACAACACTTGAAGTTCATTCTTTTAAAAAGTCAAGTTTTCCCTTTTAGAAGCTTTTCCCAAAGGGCATCCGTATCAAAAGTTGGCGCGTTTTATTCAGATTAGCCCATAATTGGACCGTGACAACTACCAATATGCCCCCATATTATGACCCTATCATGTTTAGAACCGTTGTGCTCTCAAGCTCCTCTTTCAGATCCCTGAACGACTAAGACGATCAAGATTTACGTACTTCTGGCAGTTGAGCAACCAGGTGCAGAACAGAGGACTCCTCTTCTCGCAAATTTTGGGTTGTCTTGTAAAAAAAAATCCTCGTTGCTAATAATAATAATATGACGTTAATACTCCGTTGCAGAATGCCGAGCGATATGAAACCTCCAGCACTATTTTGCGATCACAAAATGTTTCTTCTCTTGATTCGACAACCTTTTGGATTGCTTTCACTAGCAGAACCATGTGATTCGCTTTTATATTTAACGAAACTTACCTGTGTTTCTGACCTCCCTTGATTTTTGTAGGCCACAAAGCAGGTAATCTTAGTTTCTCTCTTTAAATGTGCATGCCAAAGAGTAGCACGATCTAAGAAGCAGGACTGCCTACCTAAAAGTTCTCATTTCAGGTAAATTCGGGGTCAATTACAGGTATTTAGGCCCAAAAGCAGGTAGTGCAAAGTCAAAGATGGGAAAAAAAAGACGAACGTCCCCTCGGTAAACGTAGTACCTTCGAGGGGGGCTTGCTTTTCATAATATATTAATAGTAGTAGTATTAGGTAATTAAGGTTTTAAAACTTCTGTATGTGTGTATGTGTGTGTGTGTGTGTGTGTGTGTGTGTGTGTTTGTGTGTGTGTGTGTGTGTGTGTGTGTGTGTGCATGTGCGTGTGTGGGATTATGTGTATGTTGTGTTTGGGGGAGGGGGGAGGGAGGAGGGGGAGGAGTGTTTGGGCGTGCAAAAGCAGGGCTCCCCACTCACCACCATATTAGTAATCAGCAAATTTTTAAAAAAAATAGTTATCTGGCTGAAAAATTCATAATATGACCAGGGACAGCGTTTTCCTTTGGAGTGCCAAGAAGGATAGGAGTTTTGTAGATTAAAGGATGGATGTGATGTAAAAAAAAATGTGTGATACAGGCCCGTCTTTGCAGAGTTACTGCTCTTACACTTAAACACCAAACATCC